TGTGTACTGTGTGTGTGGTTGTAAATGTGTGTATGTGTGTGGTGTGTGTATGTGTGTGTTGTGTGTGCATGTGTGTATGGCTTTGTGCATGGTGTGTGTGGTGTGTGCATGTGTGTGTGTGAATGTGTGTGTGACTGTGTTGTGTGTGGTGTACGTGTGTGTTGTGTGTGGTGTGTGCATGTGTATGGTACATGTGAGTGTGTATTATATATGTGTGTGTTGTGTGTGTGACTGTGTCTGCCACACAGAGTGAAATCTCAGGCTACGTTTTTCTTTTCTAGATAAACATTTAAACCAGGGGAAGAGGCATGTGGCCCCGCTGCATCCATACCAGGGCTGCGTCCACAGCCCGCACGACCTCTGCTGGTCTGACAGTGAGGGCTGCCGGGCAGTGCTGAGCCTCGGCTCAGGAATGCTTTGGCCAGAGCTGTGTGGACAAAATGTCAATAAGTTGGCATTGTGTATATGTGTGTTGTGTGCGTGTTGTGTGGGATGTGCATGTGTGTTGTGTGTGGGGGTGTATGTGTGTGTTGTGTATGTGACTGTGTGTGTGTTGTGTGTGGTGTGTGCATGTGTGTGCCTGTGTGCTTAGAACCTTAATCCTCAAGTCCAAATGCCGATGGCACCTCTGGGAGGTGATTAGGGTTAGATGAGGTCATCAGGGCGGGTCCCAGTGGGACTGGCAGCTTTGTGGGAAGAGGAAGAGAGACCTCAGGGCAACACCCCACCCTTTGCCATGTGATGCCCACGGCTAAGTCATGGTGCAGAGGGGAGGCCCTCATCTGATGCACCCCCAACCATGGAATTCCAGCCTCCGGAAATGTCAGATACAATTTTTTTCTTTATAAATTGTCCAATCTCAGGTATTCAGTTATTGCAACAGAAAGCTGACTCTGATGAGGGCTCTGCAGCAATGCAGAGCTGGTCCCAGAGGCAAGATGGACAGAGCTTGTGCAGCTCTGGGCGTCCCTGTGGGCACCTCTGGGCCAAGCCCAGCTGCACCTTCACCCTCCTGATTTCCCACAGCAGGCAGGAGGGTGGTGGAGCCCACAGTCCGGGGCAGGAGGGTCTCTCAGATTCCTGGGGAAGAGCTCGGAGCCCAAACGAGGACAGACAGAAGCTGCTTATCTCCGGCTTGGGTAAGAGCAAAGAGCTGGCCACTGTCGCTTGCATTTTTGCAGAGACCCAGGCAGGCTGGGCGTGGGAGCTTCCCAGTGGAAGGGAAGGCACTGGCTGAGCCCCAGTGGAGGCTGCTGGCCTGGAAGCTGGGGCCACAACTAGAACCGGGGCATCCCGTGTGAGTTTAAGGCGAGCACGTTTGTCTTTCTCGGTTTGTCCTCAGTGGGACGTCAGGGCAGGAGTCGGGGCAGCTGTGAGTTATTAACCAAGTCTTAGGCATCTGGGACTGACTCTTACGGGTTGCTTGATTCCTAGATTGGGGCGAGAGATAGCGGCCTGGCTTCCCGCAGGTGTGACTTACCGAGGGCAGGCCAGCATCCAGCCTGGCTGCTGCAGGTGACGTGTTGGATTTCTGGGCTGGCTGCTGCAGGTCGTGGGCCACAGTTCCATTTGTACAGATGGTCACACCATTGTCTCTTTGTATATCCAGCGTCTCAGACCACATTCTGGCTCCAGCCCTTCCTGATGTGGGGCCTTGGACACGTCCCCTGACTGTCCTGTGCCCGTCTTCTCAGCGGTGAAGGGAGCAGTGACCATGCACACCACTGAGGACAGCCGTGGGGATGAAACATGGCAGGCCGAGGCACAGTAGGTGTGCCAAAGTAATTCAGAAAAGCCCAGCTGTCCCTCCGTGGGCCTTCACTCCGTGCTACCTTGGCTGGAAGGTGGCCAACGTTTGTTTTGAGGCTAGGGCTGCTTCTCCAAACACATGGAATTAATCTTGAATCACACATTTGGCAGCTCTAAGCATCCCCTTCAAGATGGTCTGCTGACAGTCTCCTCTGCTGTCTGCTCACTGGACTCCGGGATGCTTTGTGAGGCAGTTGTGGGGTGCAGCAAATAATAAAGGTTTTGGAATCTGAAGATCGGAGTTAGAATCTTAGGTCAGTAAATTGCTGCCTTGGTAACCTCCATCAAATTCCACCCCGCTGAGGATGAGTCTCTTCATCTTTATGAAGGGGATGTGGTATTGGCACCCCTGGCTTGGGTGACATGTGAGGCAGCTACATGGTGCTGGGTGTGGTGTCCGTCTCTCCCTCTGTCATGATCTGTTCTCTCTCTCTCTCTCTCTTTTATTTTTTCTTATTTTCTTTCCCTTTTCTGTGAAAGTTACCCCATCCCATTTAGCTTTGTGAATGACCTGTGTTTCCCAGCATTCTTTACTTACAGAACTAGTTGGGATTGCTTTTCTTGAGAAGCTATTTTGTAAAGAAGTTTGTTAGATATCTGTCTACATGGACACAGATGTATTGATATCGTATATTGTTTCTTCTTTTGGAAAGGAGTCAAAGAGCCTCCTGTCATCTTGCAGGTAGGTGGGCAGCCCGAGATCTAAACTTCCCGTGGGAAATCTCCACGTGGAAAAGCCCCACTCAGAATCCCAGGCGGCAAGGGCAGATTGGGACTTACCATGGCGTTCCAAGCTCCATCACCATAGGTGGGTTGCTCTTGGTCACCAGGGGGCAGAAGCATTGATGGTAAGAGCTGCTCTTCTTAAACCTATCGACTGAAATTATAACCAAGGATGCACTACTGGCTGTTTTGGATCTACTTTTGCAAAGTTGGAGTCCAAGGGAGTCCCCCAAAGCCACCAGGATGACATATGGTCTCTGCAAACTTCCCACGATGAGGCACTTCATGAACCATCCCAGTGAAGAAGGCCCAAGTCACAGCACCCCAGCAGAACCCGGCAACCACCACACAGTTTCATTCACCACATAGAACCGGAAGTTGACTGCCGACGGCCATCTGAGAGGCTGCCCTAGTCTGTCCAATATTTTTCAATCAGGAGACACTCTGAGCTCCCTTCTGTGGCTGGGTAGGTGCTGAGCTCCAGAGGTTGAAAGACAAACATGTGTTAACGTTCTGGAGGTTGTAGCATGCTCACAGTTAAATGGATTTCATTTCAGAATATTACTGATCCCAGATTGCACATGGTATGTGTGTATTAATAGACGGATAGACAGATTAACATTTGTGGAAACAAAACATCGTCTGCATTATCAGGTTGTCGTAAATTCTTACAATTTTGCGTGGCCTCAGCATCTGTTTTGAATACAAGTTTAACTTTCGCAGACCAGAAGTAAGGCTCGGTCATTCTTGACACAGTTTCGAGTTGTACACCACACCAAAGTGGCTCAAGATTCAGAATTCAGAGGCATTTCTCACCCAGCCAATGGAGCTTCTGCTTTCCTGCCCAGGCTTCCTTTTTAGACAAAGTCTCACTCTGTCACCCAGGCTGGAGTGCAGGGATGAGATCTTGGCTCACTGTAACGTCTGTTTCCCAGGCTCAAGTGATCCTTTCACCTCAGACTCCCCAGTAGCTGGGACTACAGATACGCACCACCACACCCAGGTTTTTTTAAAAATCGTATTTATTTTGTAGAGATGGGGCTTTGCCATGTTGCCCAGGCTGGTCTCAAACTTCTGGACTCAAGTGATCTGACCTCCTCGGGCTTCCAAAGTGCTGGGATTACAGGTGTGAGCCACTGCACCCAGCCCAGTCTTCCTTTAAATGGACCATTCAGACCTTTGCCAAAGAACTTAAAGTATGTAAGTATTCCCACACCCTATTCCCTTACACACACACAGCCACACACAGCCACATATATATATATATGTAAACATACTGCTAGTGCCCACTCACTCTGTCTGCCTGACTCTCATCCCATTGCACGTGTTCCGGGGATGGAGGACTGCCCTCCAATTTCTTATACCCTCCCACCTGCATCTGTAAGTAAGAAATCTTTGAGCTAGTTTCCTGTTGTGCGGGTTGATTTCGTGTTTTCCAACTGAAGAACCAGGGACTGCCTCAGGCTGGGCTTTGCCTGGGATGCCAGGGAGGCAGTTAGTGGGGACAGAAGGTTGGACTTCTAGCACCACAGCAATGGCCAGAAAGGCATAAACTGAGCACGGGTCAGACAAGAGCCACAGGGGTGTCTGCCAGTATAAACACGTTTCCCGTGTGAGGGACTCCCTGGTTGTGGGTTGAACAACGAGGCATGGGGCTATCCACAGGTAAAAGAGGCATTCCATGAAAGGTGCTCTGTAAATGCTGACACCCAGCTCCCCCTTCATCTCCCATTAGGGCAGGGTTGCCAGCCACTCTGGAATGAGAACCTCAATTTAGCTGGGGCTCTGAAAACACAGGTACACTCTGGTGACTTACCAGCAGACAGTGTTTACATAGCAAGTGCCATATTCATGGCACTGAAATCACTGCTGTATTTCACGGAGTGACTCCCTGTCCATGGGTGGCGCTGAAATCACAGCTGTAGTTCAGGGAGTAACTTCTTGTCCATGGGTGGCACTGAAATCACAGCTGGATTTCGTGGAGTGACTCCCTGTCCATGGGTGGTGCTGAAATCACAGCTGTAGTTCAGGGAGTAACTTCTTGTCCATGGGTGGCGCTGAAATCACAGCTGGAGTTCAGGGGGTAACCTCCTGACCATGAAATCACTAAAGTGACTTTCTGTCCATGGGTGGTACTGAAATCACAGCTGTAGTTCAGGGAGTAACTTCTTGTCCATGGGTGGCACTGAAATCACAGCTGGAGTTCAGGGGGTAACCTCCTGTCCATGAAATCACTGAAGTGACTTTCTCTCCATGGGTGGCGCTGAAATCACAGCTGGAGTTCAGGGGGTAACTTCCTGTCCATGAAATCACTGAAGTGACTTTCTGTCCATGGGTGGCGCTGAAATCACCGCTGGAGTTCATGGAGTGACTTCCTGTCCATGGGTGGCCTGGGCAGTGAATCTTCGGCTGTGCCCCATGCCCTATGTACTGTTATTACATTCATCCTTGGAAGCCACGTCAAAAACATTTCTAAACAAGGCAGATAATTGGTTGAAAGCCATCTGTTGTATGTAAACCAGTAAATGAGAGATGTGTACATCTTTTTCAGTTTATTATTTTGAAAATTTTAAAACCACCTTTCCAGTAAAAATATTCCAAAGACTTAAAGGAACAGTAATAGTCATGCAACTGCAGAAAAACAGCAGATATTAGACTGAAGTGTGGCCTGTGACCTCTAAGAGTCTGCAGTTGGAAACAACTTCCCTGGAAAGTTATGTCCAGTGTAGACTGGATATATTCAGTCTTCCTTTGGAAGAAAAATAAAATTTCCAAAAAAAGAAATGTTTTTTAAAATAAAAAGTAACCAGTGTCATACCTTTTTGTAAATTTATTTTTTTTACATTTACATTTTATCTGGATATTTCTTTCTTTAATCCCTTGAGCTCCCATGAATATTTCTCAAACCACACAGTCACTCTTTCTGAGTTAAAAACCAAAGAAATCAAATGTACTGCAATTCAGAGATGAAATGCTTTTTGTTTCCCTCAAAATAAAACTAATGGAAAGTAGCAGGTACTCCCTAGCAAAAACATGGTTGTTACTTAATGTAGTCTCAACAAATAGACTTCCATTGGAGCTGATTTGAGCCCCACACAATCTGAAAGCCCTTTATGTAAGTCCATCATGACGAATAAGCAGCCCAGTAGATCTTAGAACCACTGGAAAGAAACAAATAGAAATACGAAAAAAAAAATCAAAATGTTACGGAATAGTTTGCGTTTCTTTTCTATCTCCAATTTAGCAGCACGTTCTCATTCTGTAGAAATATCACCTTTCAAGTTTCCATGTTGTCAAAGTATTTAAAACTCCACTGCTAGGAAACCAGAATGATCCGTAGGGCATAGGGTGCAGTTTTTAACTCAAGCCCTATGAAACAAGCTAATGTATAGATCACCTGAACCATGCTGGGAATATCTGTAGGCCTTGCCAGGTATGCAAAAGAAAATGGCACTTCTATTTTTGTCTGGATAAGTCAAATAGCAACCAGACGACCACAGCATGAGAGTACGGAAAGTGCTCAAAATATTATGTCATTCTTCAGCATATAATAAATCCCTCCTGCAAATTAAACTTAGAGTTATCAATTGGACTCATAGCTCTCAGTGGTGATTTCATCTTAGAATTTGGTAGCCGATGGTACCTTGTGCTTGGCTTTGGATGCTGGGATGCTTAGTCATTAGTCTGTAGCATCTGTCTAGCAAATTCAGAGTTTCTGGGCTTACATTTTGTGAAGTTATTTGCTTTACTTTCTTCCATTTTTTTTCTAAGTGCGTTCATTTTTAATTCACTTTTTAAATACATTTCATCTCAGTCTGTTACATTTACCCTTGGAAGCCACTTCAATGACATTTTAAAATAAGGCAAAGAGAAATTGTTAGTACTTATTCTCATTACTAGTTCTGTGTTTGCTTCTACATATGAGAAGGCGAATAGCCTGGAGGTAACCAATGATGTAGATAGCACAAGGTTTCCTGTTTAAAGGCTTCTCCTCTGTGCAGCTCTTCCTCTTTCCTCCAAGTCCAGGTCACAGATAGTAAAGTATGAGACAATGCTTTCAAAATGTGTCAAGCAGCTTATGCTAAGTAAGATGCAATGCCATTTCTCCCGGGATCAAAGAGTTCTTTTCCACTTTGCCCAAAGACAAAAGAAGTAGCTATCTTATTCAGATACTTTGTTTTCGTCCCCTTTGTGGTATCTTCTGTGGGAGGCAGGAGGCAGGTAATGTTTGAACATCCTTTCTGTGCTGGGCACCACCAGGCTGAACTTTTTGTATGCATGGTCTTACTGAATCCTCCCAACTTTGCAAGGTTGTTTCATTGGTCGTATTTCACAGATGAGAGAACAAAGACCCAAGTTGTTAAATATATTGTAGAAATTTCGTTTAGCTTTCGTGTGCGCAGTCTGCACTCTGTGATGCTGTCTGAAGAAATCGTATTTGCTGTGGTCAATGTTTGTGTTTCCTCAAATGCCTACATTGAAACCTGAAAATCCATATGTT